TTTTAGTAGTTTCTGCATCTCTTTAGATGTTTTCTCTGCTTGATGCATGCCAATGTTTTGACCCTTCCCAAAAAGACTAACATCTTTTCCACGACCATGGGATGTGTCTTTCAACATGGCTGTTTAGGAAAAGAGAAGCAAGTCAGAAAATGCCCTACATAGATGTGTGTTGTGAAAATGTTGTGGATGAAATTATCTAAAATGAATAAAATTGGGGTGGGGGACGTCATCGAAAGGTGGCACCCTCCAGTAATGGCCCCCTCCCCAAGGACATACATGTGTGGCAGTGTGATACAGCAGGCAGAGGGAGGAGTCCGTGAATGGGGAGGAAAGGCTAGGGATGCCACTGCACCCCCAGGGAGCCGGCTCCCCCGCTGACTCCAATAGGTACCCCCGTTCCACAAGAGAAGTCGCACCACCAAAGCCTGAGGGCCAAGAATAGGTGGCAGCCTACTCCTTTCCGCAGACACTCTGGTGCACCTCCCCAAAATTGTAGGTGACCATAGGCAGTCCCATAGGTAGCGTAGCAGGGAGGAGAGAAAGGAGGCCTCTGATGGGTCAATCCTACATCCGCTCTACACTATGTGTATTTCCTGTTTGGTACCTTATGGCAGAAATTCTGGCTGTAGCTCAAAACTCCTAGCACACCTAGGACATTATCCCAGACACCATACAAAACAATAGTTTGTAGCTCTGTGTGACGGTCTGTTCGTTTGCACCTGAAGCCAAAACATGCAGCACCATGGCCAGTCTTTGGGGAACACTCAGGAGTGAACTGTGTGTCGTTGGACATTGTTAGACTTAGACAACTTTTATTGTCATTTTGTATACACAGTGTGTATACAAAACAAAATTTCGTTTAGTACAACTTTTCAGACAGAAAATGAACCATAAAGTGCAGCAGTGATCAAATGTAAACAGTGTGGGACAAAAAACATGGTGCAAAAAAAAAGCACTGATATGGAAGTTCAGAGCATTAATATATATGGTGCAAATATGTAGTGTTTCGGTTTGGTTTTATCAGTGTTATGCAGAATCTGTGACATGATTTAGAATTTTTTTCAACAGTTTAGCAGTCTGATGGCGGTGGGGAAGAAACTGTTGCAGAGTCTGCTGGACCTGCATTGAATGCTGTGAAGCGTTTTCCCAGAGGGAAACAGGGAGAACAGTCCATGGTGGGGGTGTGATGGGTCATTGATGATGTTACGGGCTCTGGACACGCAGGGCTGGGATGAAATGTCTTTTAAGGAGGGAAGATCCTCTCTGCTTTGCTTACCACTCTTCTCATTTAGTAGTGAGAACAATAGAGAGGATCAAGGGAACTATATTTCCCTTATCTACTCTAAAAGGGTACAGCGCCTCAATGGGCTTGCACACAGCGCGCAGTGCAGCGCGAGAACCCTAAGCTTGAGTATATTCCAGCTAAAATAGCTAAGAACTGATAATGTGACACATTTCAGAAACTCCCAAGTAGACTGATGGTGTCAGTGTTTCAGAGTTATGCGATTTTACTCAACACCCTACACTCCACAGGCCAACAGGGTGGTTGAATGCATGATCGGTTTGCTAAAGAAGAAGATTGTTGAAAATGCTAATTTATTTGATTGGAGCACCAGTGATGTCATAATTGGGCAAGCCTTCAATGATCGAAGGAGGAGCAAACAGGCCTCCCCTGCAGCAGAACTTAAACAACCTGTCACTTAACAGGAAGTAGGGCGGAGCATATCAGATAAAGAGAGGCCAGCAGTCTCAGCACAATTTCATGTTGGACAGAGGGTGTGGTTGAGAGTAGGAGCTCAGCCGGCATACACAGCAATAAAGCCCAAGTACTACACAGTAGACATTGTGGAGCACTTTGCTGCTGCTGCACAAAGGGATCCAGGGGTTGAGCAGTTAAAATAAATTCTTAGCTACAGTAGAGGTAAACAGAAACCAGAGACAGCCAATGAACCAAGCGCCATAACATCATATGTCTGCCTGGCCACATTGATAAGAGTAATATAGTTTGTTGATTGTTGTCTATATTTCCTCCTGAGGGTGACACTCATCAACCTCTCGGACCTCAGAGGATTCAACTCTAACAGCTTTTCCTGCATGTGAGACAGAGACAAACTGATCTCCGGTCACAACTGCCAACTCACATTCTTACAGGGACGCTGTATGGGGGCACAGATATCAGGTACAAAAATTTTTGGCTTTAAGGCCATTCAATCTAAAAAGGCTGACAGCCAAGTACCGAGTGCCCCTTGCATCATTCCCTGTTGAGCCAGGAAGGACCATCAGCACCCCCCATGGAAGCAAGCACATCAGCATTACCTAGTCCCCCAGATTGTGGATGTGGTGACAGATTTCTAGAAGCCATTACCACCTCCTAGCTTTTGGATGTTACTGAAGCCCCCCTAGTTTCTCCTGTCAGAGCCAAACAATGTTCCTTGATGTTAAGGATGTTTAGAGACCCAACTGTTCCAGGCTGCAGATGAATGTGAAGCAGAATAAATGGAAGGTTAGGTAAGGCACTGGTAACTGACCACACTGATTTTATAGGTCATAAATAAGCCTGACATCCCATCAATAGACCTGCCCAATATGTTTAGAGAAAACGGGCGAATTCTACCAATTTTTATACAATTTCTACTTTTACTTGAGTAAAACTATGTAACTATACTATTTACTTGCAACTCTTACATTTACAATACATTTATTTGCTGTCCCTTGACTGAATTATTTTGCAAGCTAC